AACAAAATCAAGTAACTGGGGTGGAAGCCTGGGAACTGTTTTCATTAAGATTGCAACATTCCTTTAGTAAGTGTTGTGTAGAACATTTCCTATATTACCTGCTTTCCAGGAAATGAATACTGGACTAATGAACAAGCTACTGTAAAATACAAGGAGTCTGGCAGTTAGTTACTGTCCCCTGTTTCTCATACACTGCACAAACTAATGGATAAGAAGTGGTCACATACAGAGAGTAGTGTAGTAGTTTACTAAAATGTAGGTGCATCAATTAATTGTAGCTAAAGATGGAGCTGACTTTTTCAGGGAAAATTTAAGGGGGAACACACGCATATGCACACTTCGATTTTTCTGCATCTGTTCCATTATAAATTGCAATATATCTTGGATTACTAAATTAGGGTCAGATCTTGGCTTCCTTATTCAAGTGAAATTCCTGTTGTTACTAACAAAAGTTGCCTCCAGTAATGATAGTAGTCAGCTCACAAATTTCAAACTAAATTTATTCATACCAGATTTTAATCCAGGGATAGGCAACCCCCCAGCATGGGTGCCAGAGCGTGGCATGCACAGGCATTTTGCTTGGCATGCATACCTTGGGGCAGATGGCAGGAAAGTAGCTGGGGGGGACCAGCCACAAGGACCGGGCCCCTTGCAGCTCCCCCACCATCCGCCCTGGCATGCCAGCATCTTATAAATTGAGGTTGTGGCGACCCCTGTTCTAATCCAGGGTTACAAATCTAACTGGTTTAGAATGCCTGAATATTCATGTGGATTCATTTATATTGGACCACAAATGAAAAATGCTGCAGTACCTTTTTACATAGCAATGATTGTTTCTACAAAGCACTACTAAAGAGAAAAAAAAAGTATTATCTTCATATAGAAACCTCTGTGAATGATTACAAATCAAAGGGAAGATTTATATTAAATTAACAAACACAATGATATTAACTGAGAATCAGTTCTCTCACCTCACCTTCCCTTTTAAAATAAAGGACTAAAAGCACAGCAGCATGTCTGAAAAGAGCACAGATGTCCATTCTCAATGGTGCTCATAATTTTCCTGAACAAGCAGCCATTCTACCATGTGATCAACACTTTCTCACACAAGGTGCAAGGTAGACAGTTTCACATATACTATAATAAAAGGAAGAAACCACACCATATAAGGTTATCATTTTGGGCAGAGTAGGAATCACACTTCTCTGCAGCGCTTCCAAAACAGCACTCTTCATGCATTTTGGACTACATCTTTTTTAATGAGTTTTTACAGGTATATGGTTCAGTCAGATATAAAAGTAATACAGACAAGAATGTTGGCTCCACAGTTACTTTCCCTTTCCTCAAGATGTTTTAGCATCTTTCTTTATCAGTCTGGAGCTCTTGAGTACTGTGGGATTTGGAAATAGTTACACACCTTTATGAGTGTAACAAACTTGCTGTTCTACTTAGCAGCATTTTAAACATTCCTAAAATTCTGCAAAGCTATGCTGCCTACCTGGACTTAATGCATCCATTTTTTTCCCCATTTTCTTTCAATGGTTTTCCTCCCTCAATTCTGTCTCCACCTCCTAGGTAGGGTTATTTGCTGCTGTCACTCATTAGTGAATTCACTCTCAGTGGCAAAAAGGAGGAGACCACACAAAAGCAGTGTTCTAGATCTTAGACCAGTGGTTCTCAACCTTTTTGGACTTAAGGCACCTCCTTACTGGACTCATACATAACTTGTGTGATTGAGTGGCACCAATTAAAAAAAACTAATGTATATTTTACAGTGCTTACTACCTTGCAGAGGGACTGGGAAGTGGGGGTGGGGGATTGTTCAGTCATGGGCCAGCATGAGCCTGTGCTTACCTCCACAGCTTATCTGCTAATCTCCTCACACCTCAAGGCACCCTTCAAAGGATTTGCTGATACCCTAGGGTGCCCTGGTACCCTAGTTGAAAATCAGTTTTAGACACTTGACTGGGGTGAACTAGTTAATTAGCTTTGAAAGGAAAACCTCATTACTATCCCCTGTTACTCATCCAGGAATCTCTTTGGGACCAAAAGCACAAAGAATAAAGGAGTGTATGGTGAGATAGCAGAGATGAGAGAATCTATTGGTTTTAAAGCAGCACACCTATACTGCATGTCTTTACAAACCTACACACCATCAAGCCTACTAGACATTGACTTCAGCATCTCCAATTCTCATAGTGTCTTCTCCACTTATCACATGAACCCCCTCCCAACCCACCCCTGCCTCCCCCCCGTACCACACACCGCTGCCCTTCTGTCACCAAAAGTGATTCCAAGCTGGTTGGTTACTCTCAGGCTGTGAAGCTAGCAAACCTGATCAAAGCATCACCAAAAAGTCTCTGCTTCACAAATCAACATGTACATAAATACCAGCTGCAGAAGGCTGAGTTGGTAGATTTCTTTAGATTTCCTTCCCCTATTGCCACTGCCAACAGCAGCATGGAAGGCAGACTGAAGTAGAAAACCAAAAATGTCTTTTTTCCCCTCAGCTTTAAAGAATGTTTGCAGATTTGGAAAGTAAATGAATAAAGATAACCATGCTAACTACACTTTTATGTAGGGGTGCATCGACAGATTTTTTGGCCTGAAACCGATGGCCTATTTTTAATGAGCCATATTGGCAGATACCAATTCGAATGCCAATAGATATGCAGCCCGTTAGCATGGAGAGCTGTGTCTGGCTGGTAAGTCTGTTGTGAAGGAAGGGGTTGGGGGAGGGGAGGGGAGGGCAGAGGGACAGATCGGGGCCCCTACAGTGAGGGAGGGAGTGGGGCTGGGGCAGATGCTGCCCAGCCAGGATGGAGCCGAGAGCAGCTCGTCTGGGGCTGCAGGGAGGGAAGGGGTGGCTCCTGCTGCTACACGCACCCTAGGAGGACATGGGGGGCGTGTGCCTGGATCTGCATGCAGGGTGGGGGCAGGCTGCCGCTGCAGGCTGGAGCCGTGGTTGCACTGGGCTGTGCTTGGGGCAGGCAGCAGCAGTGCTGGGAGTGGCACCACAGGGGGCTGCAACCACCCCAAAATTCGTTGTAGACCCACCTCCAGTGACGCTAGCAGCCCCAACCACAGCATGGCCCAGTCCTCCCACTGGGAAGAGCCCGGCACTACCCTGACCCCAACTCACAGCAGCAGCCCACCCTCACCCCACGTGTAGAACTGGGGGCACACGCCCCCATGCCCTCCCGGGATGCATGCAGTGGCGGGAGCCACTCTCCCCTCCCTGTGCCCCACAAATGAGCTGCGGCTGTCCTGTGCCTTGCCTCCTCATCCCTCCCCAGCTGGCCATCACCTGCCCCTGCCCCCACTCCTTCCCTCACCGTGGGGGCCTTGATCTTTCCCCCCACCCTCCATACCCTTTCCCTCCCCGCACAACAGACTTACCAGCTGGATGCTGTTCTCCATGTTGCCTGGCTGTGCTCTTGGCTGCCTGTGTGCTGCGCTGCAGTTGCACGCGTGCACATGGCATTTATGCGCACATTATTGACCACATCAGCCAAAAAAAGCCAACTGCCAATAGTGTCAATTTTCCTTATATTGGTGCTGATCTGTTATGGGACCAATGTATCGGTGCACCTCTACTTTTATGCATGCTGCAGAATCAGTCAGAATCTTTAAGTAATTTTGGAAGAGGCCTGATGAAGAATGTCTTGTATTAAACAGGTTGTTTAACTTTATCCAAATTATACAGTTGGTCCAATAAAATATACAACCCTAAAAAATTATTTACTCTTGCATAATTCCTGGACCATAATGGCTATGACATCACTCTAACACTTCCAGGTAATTTTGGCAAATTCGGCCAAGCATTTATTTGATGCTGAAGGTGCTTACGTCTATCAGGCACTTAAAAGCCCCCAGTGTTCAGGCACTCGGATTACTGAAGACCAGGTGACAGAATTTAGTTTGCTAGTGCACTATCAAGAGAAGCTTTGTTCTGACACCTGTACAAAATATCACCAGATTAGGACTTCTACTTTAAAGCAATCATGCAGCACAGCCAGACAGTCAAGCCCCAGTCTAGATTTGGGATGTTCTTCCTAAATTCTGTAAGAAGCCAGACAAATGAAAGGAGCCCCACTGAAAAGTTAACACTGGCCTGAAATTAACTGAAAATGGATCAAACAGTTTCTAATGGATTGTACCTACCCAAACAAATATGTTTGCTCTTACAAAGAACACTGGAAGAAGGATTTAGTTTGAGAACATTTGACTTAATCCCAATCTTATCCAAACAAAAAGAGTTAATATATGATATTTACAGGCATAGTGATTTAGCACTTAGCTTTAGAGCATATGTAATGCATATAATCAATTAATGTTATTAGGAACATAAACATTTAAAAAAACAACAACACATACAACGCAAAAAAAAAGTCTTGAGAATGATCAACCCTGAAACATTTTTCTTTGTGGACTTCAAGCTTGTATAATCTACATGTACATCTCCACTGCCTTAGAGCAAGCCAGTGTATAGAAATGATTCCTTGACAAAACAGTAGGGAACAATTTATAGGCTGCTATTTTGCAGTGTGAGCAGTAAGCCCCAGTCTCCAAAACATATGAACAAAGAGGGGAAAGCATTTGAGAAACTCTATAGCACATATGGAACATGGTTTTCCACACAGTTGAATGAGCTCAAACTTCACAAGTCACAAAGGACAGTAATAAGAAACCACTACTGTGTATAGAAAGCTTACTGTGCAGTCACCACCCGTTACTACCTGTGGGTGTCAGTATGGTAAACCAGAAACATTTTAACACAGTGAGGGAATGCCAGCAAAGATTAAAAGGCAAAACCCTCCTTACTTAACTCAAAGATTATCTCGAGTGAAATGCATTTTTTTAAAAGGCCAGAGTGATTTCCAGCTTTAACATATCAAGTCAAATCCTGACTTTGGAAAATACTGGTAGTTCATAAAGACAATGCAAGTGACACTAGAATGGTATGCACCTTCCCAGAAGAGGAGTTATGAAAACCTCACCTTGTCACTGTCATCATTACAGATGTGGTCCTGATGGATCGACTGGCATTGGAAGGAAGCACCGATACCACCTACAAGAGAATGGGGGAAGAGGAAAAATATAATTAAACGGCAAGCAGTATTTATGAGCGCTAAAAATATAGGCAAGCGTAGCAGCCAGTTTTTTGTTTTTTTGTTTTTTTTAAACACAGCAGAGATTTAGTTGCCAAACATCTATGTCAGACAACTCTTGCATTTAATTCTGATCATGAGATAAGCAGCAGAGATGTTTTTTTCACAAACTGCCAGAGAGATCTTCTCTAAATAATTTTTAAAAAATCTAAAACAGAACAAAATTAGCACTTGTTCATTAATCCAAAAGAAATACATGCAATAAAACATTACATCATGCACAAACAGAAGATGCTAACAGCCTTATACTTCATGTTAAGTCCCACCCCTTCCCCAAACCTGTGACAGTTTAAACAAACTGGTGGAAAAAGACTATTGTCTTTAATTTAAAGGGAAGGTAACTGAGAAAAGTCAGGACCTTGAGGCTAATAATTTTTTTGTTAATAATACTTGCATTCAGGTTGGGATTTTGCCCTCTCCCCATCTCTCCTGCCAGGCCTCCATGCAGGTCCATTCCACCACATACAGTTCTGCCTGTGAAAGACTGATGTCTATCAGCCCTTCCCAAAGTTTAATAGCACAGGGCAACCATACTAGTGCCCAGTAAAACATCAGGCTACTGGTTTACACTCTCACATGACCTAAGTGTATAAAATCTTAAATATCTCTACAGTCCAAAGTAGGAGTTATGTAAAGTCTGTTCCACACTTGTTTTCACTCCTTAAGAGGGACACAGAAACATCTACAAGGTTAAGCAACCCGTGGCATACCTGCCAGAGCATGGAATGCAAAGGCATTTTGCTTGGTACATGCACCTTGGTGAACTAGCCAGGGCTACGCTGCCACAAAAAGGATTGGGCACCTCGCAGCTCCCCCACCATCTACCCCTGGCATGCCAACATCTTACAAGTTGAGGTTGTGGGTGTTTTTGGCCCTCTGCCCAAACACACTGCCGACCCCTTATCTACACTAAAGCAATCCGATTTAGAGAAACAATTAGAAAACACTGCTGCTGTTCTCTTTGTATTTTCTAAAGCTTATTAAAATGCACCAAATTCAATTATAAATGTAAATTCTAAAGAGTGTTTGACAATATATAAACCCACCTTAATTTAAAAAGTGATTTGCAACATATATAGCACCTATTCTGTAAATACAATGACAGATACTCAGGCACCCTCACTTGGCAAACCAAAGGTACCCTGTTTTCCCTGTTCCTTTCTTTGCCATCCCCCCAAAAATCCAGTCTGTTATGCTTTACTGAACAAATAAATTGTTTATTCCATCAGAACTTATCATAACTGTGCCACAATATTTTCAACCTAGGATCAAAGATTGGTAAAGTTCAAGGTTCCTAAAAAGAATTCGTATTGGTTTATAAAAATGGATTTTTAAAATATCTTACAGATCATGGTATAGCAGATGTAATAATAACATTCATATTATTGCCTTAGCTGCTGGAATTAAGAGATTCATGCTTTATACCAATGGAAAACTGAGACTGCTAGCACTTTCAGAGACTACAGGCAATTGGTGTTTGTCAGTTAGCTGCTGCTATATGGAGAATTGATAATACTGGAAATGAAGTGGACAAAAACTCCAAGATGGTAACATGCACATGAATACCACCTGCACGGCACCTGAATACCATGAAAAGAGAGGGGGAACCACTTCTCTCCCAGCTCCAAAATTGAGCAAGGAAAAACAGACCATTAAATCTCTAATGCTTCATTACAAAAGGTCTGCCTAGAACTTTCCCTAGGACTTCCATGCTGTTTTCTTCCCACAATTTTGAAGTAATGGGGTAGATATTCCCACTTTGAAGGACAACCCCAAGCTATAAGCCATTTTACAACTATGTTTTTGTAGAGCTTTGAACTCCTCACACTTCTCCATACCATAAGAGACTACCTAAAGTTTGCAAGATTGTTGAATTAACATAGGTGTAGGCAACCACTGTCAGAGGTAACTGCCACTGCAGGACCTTCTCAAAAAAAGTCTTCTTCAAAATAATTATACTTTGATTTGCATTGTTGTTCACTGCCACTGCTACTTGACTGATCTTCTGCTGAAGTGGGTACAACAGAGGTGGCTAACCTGCTTGGCAGGCATTCCACAAGTTAAACCCTCTTTCTTCAACTGCCACTGTGATTTTTGCACCCCCCCAGAGGCATACTTGATAGTCTGTGTCCTGGGCACCAGAATGGAGGCAGGGAGCTGGTACCTCTGGCTGCAGCTCTTGGAGCAGAGCAGATGCAGGGCATGTTGCTTGGAAGAGCTAGGTTAACCCTTCCCTGGCACCACAACTGCTCTGGTTTTATATAAGCAAGGATCCAAACCCCTACATTTGGTGGCAGCTGCAGGGCCAGGGAACAGTTAACTTGACTTTTGGTGGTGACACCCAATACCTCTCTCCTGCAGCAGTGCCCCATGCTGCCACCTCCACCCAGCCCCAGTTCCAAGGAGTGCTCTCTCTGGTCCCTGCCTTCATTTCACCACCTCCCTTTACAACACCCAGGACTCGCACATTAAGTTACTTATGCCACTTGGGGCACACATGCTGCTGATTAGCCAATCCTGGTATACAACATCTAAATTGCATTCAAGGCAGTTTTCAAAAAAAGATGAATAGAAAAACAAGGCACTTTCATTGTGGGAAGCAGCCTGTAAATAAAATAACCCCATTCACACATACACCTTAAAACTGAGCAGAGGAGCTGCTCTTGGGCACCCACATATCTACTGTTCCATGTTTCCACAGCAATTGCTACTGCTGTTACTATTCCACAGGAATTTTGTTGACTTTGGGTTTCTTAGGTTTCTCTCCTTTTATTGTTTTTACATGATCTTTTCTTAGATCTAGCAGAGTATGGAAAAAACAGGGCTGTATTATGCAGCCACTACCCCAGCACAGTGAAAACATGTTGAGTCCTACCCAGTACTTGGCCTCTGGATGTTGTTCATTCATGGACTATGGCCAATTCACATCATTTTAGGCTTGAATCACATCACTGGCAGACTAGCCGGCTATACCACAGCTACTGAAAAACAGTTCATGTCATGGCTGCACATAAATACGGTCCTGGGGGTTTCCAAGTTTCATAAAACAGCTAACAGTTTCCAGTGTCTCTCTCCAGAAGACTAACATTTCACAGACTGGCTGAATGTACTACATCTAGACAAATCTAAATATTCTTTACTTCTCTAGAAGTGTTCTTAGTCCTTATAATAACACAAAACCCTTTAACACTGGGGGTCAGGCTAGATGATCTGTTCAGGTCCCTCTTGACCCTAGCTACTGTGAAACTATGAAACATCCTTGCAAAAAACAAAAGCAAAAAACCCCTCATCATTCATTGGATTCTGCTAACATGCCCATCTCACCTTCCATATTGAAACAGTGGCCCAACTGCTGCTTTCTGAAAGGTTTTTTGAAACATTTTTCTATATGTCTTTTATGATTATAATTTCCTTTCTTTCTACATACTTCTTTCTGAGATTCTCTTAAAACAGGTACATACATACATATGCACGCGCACACACACATGCACACACACAGACATACGTTTAAAGGAAATTTGATGCATCACAGTACGTAGTGGTAACTTAAGAAATGTTCAAGAGCTGTTATTTTTAAATGCAAAAGGTGTAACCAAATCTCTTTTAAAAACAGCTTTCATTTTGAGTTTCATTTTTACACAGAGGGAAAAGCAATGGCCCCGATTCTCCTCCTAGATCCAAACTGATGGCCTTGACACCTCCAAAATCTGATTGCAGGATTAGGAACTATTTTGAGGTCACATTTTCAGAAAGGCTTATAAAATGGTTTTAGCCTCTCTATTTTCATTTAAAAAAAAAATGATATTTAACAACACGGTCCTTTGAGGATCTTTCCCCTGTGCAGTCCTTCCAACATGTCAGAATGTGCATGCGATTCAAGGTACACTCCCTTGGCCACACTGGTATACACTCTGTCCCCACATGCCAGCTCCAAGGGAAGAGAACCATTAACTGGCAGAACAGCAGTCAAGGTAATCCTACAGTTGTATAGAAAGAAAGACTAGACAAAATATGCTCAAATCTCACCCTTGAGTCTACAAGAATGAGTTTCACCACATCTAAATTGTTAATTTAATACAGACTAGTTAAACAGTACATAAATTTTATTAATAACCATTAAATCGAGATAAGAGAGTCAAAGCCACACTTTATTTTGTTTTTGGCTTGTGCTTGGAAAATTGGCACTAGTTACTTTTTGGATTTTTTTTTTTTGGCATCTGTTCTCCAAATCTAAGCTAAAAACTTGACCCAGCTGCCACAGGCTATTTAAGATTGTTTGCATTTGTACTCACCAGCAGGCTTTGAAGTGAATCTAAATTCCCATTTTTTGTTGCTATTATTTTGGTCTATATAGGCAGTAAAGATTAAATAAGAGCTGAGCCTTCAGGTGGCCTTAGGTTATTAAGAAAAATCCACTTTCACATATTGAAGGGTTCACTGTTATTTTGAACACACCATGTAAACATTACTTAACTTGCTGTTCTTCCTAGTATTTATTTACAAGGAACAGGTGGCTTAGGGAACTGAAAATGACAGTCTTTCACTGTTAGAACCATAATTCCTGTCAAGCCTAGGCTGGCTAACACCCAAATGCTTACCAATCTGGTAGTTGCATTGTAGCTGGTACAAAAGGGAATTAGTGGGCCTCAGTCTAGTTCTTACACAGACACGTGTTTACACATTGCAAAACCTACCAGAAAAAATGACACCCTCATGGGCAAAGATGTTTTAATATGAACCACAGAGATCCAGAATGAAAAACAGCCCATGGCAACTGGGGAGGAGGAAGGGACTTCTGTTTCTACTGTCCACCCTGATCCGATCTGTAATGATCAGGAAGTCAGGCAGCCCCTGAGCTGCATGGGGGGGCCTGGTCCTTTCCTCCCTGGCAGCGGTGCTG